TTTGTGCAGTTTTCTCCAATGCATCCTGTAAAACATCCTGTAAATCTTTAAGTGTGAGTGCCTGAGATGGGGGGGAGGGTGGAGGAGACTTAGGCTTAGGTTGCTGTACAGTCTGAATTACTGGAGAAGAAATTGAGCCTTTAGGAAGAGAAGAGATTCCAGGGCGTTTTGAAGCCATTTTAAAAAAGAAGAAAAAAAAACACTTCTTATAACAAAATAAAATAAGGAGATAATAAAAACAAATCCCCCATGCATAAAAAGGGGGAACTCTTTAAATAAGCAAAGTCTGTTACATTGTCTGAACTTTGTTGCCAAGTAAAAGTGAAAGTCTTCAGACAAAGAAACAGGATTCCTCCGCCATTTTTTCTCTCACTCCTTTTGTTAAAATAATAACTGGAGAAGATATTAATTCTTTCTTGAGTTAAAGTTAAAGTTCAAAATTATCACAGTTCTGATCCTCCTGAACAGCTCTGTCTGCTTCAGATTTTACTCACAATTCTCTTTAGGCAGCAGATGTGGAAGCAGCATCTGGCTTCGTTCCGGAGAACAAAGGCATCCTGGGATGCGGAGATAATCCAGACTCCGAAGGAGCTCTCACCCTTCGTCTCCCCCTGCTCAAAAAAAGGATCTTTGGGAGACTAGAGGAGCTCAACTTCTATCTGGAAAAGACTCACCTTCTTTCCTTCGCCCAGAAAGAAGATTCCAAGCCGCCAAACAACTGATAGTCGCTGTCTTGCCGGCTTTTACGCATTCCCGAGACAGGCGGCTAAGAAAAATGCCGCCATCGGCACGGCGATCGCCACCGGAAGTCAGCTCATTAAGGTTTTTAAAAGGCTAGAAGCTACATATTCTCCTATTCTCCTTTCAGCCACTGTTCAGTCATTTTAATCTGTGAAACCTGATCAGAGAACAAAGAACAAAGAAAATATGTTTTCCTCTATATTTCATTTTTAAATCTGAGGTACAGAACCGATGGGAAACTGTTCAACCTGCGAAGACTTCAGGCTGTCACCAAGGTAAAGGAGACTGTGCTACGAGATCTCCTCTTTGCTGATGACTGTGCCCTTAATGTAGGATTGGAGCAGGAAATGCAAGCCAGCATGGACAAATTCGCAGCCGCCTGTGACAACTTTGGCCTCTTCATCAACACGAAGAAAACTGAAGTGATGTACCAGCCAGCTCCAAAAGCCCAATATCAAGAGCCTACTATCACAGTAAAGGGACAAAAGCTGCAGGCAGTGGACCAATTTACATATCTTGGTAGTACCCTCTCCCATGCAGTGACAATTGACATTGAGGTCAACTGTAGAATTGCCAAGGCAAGTTCTGCATTTGGTAGATTGCGGACTAACGTATGGGACCGCCATGGAATAAGTCTTGCTAACAAGCTTAAAGTTTACCAGGCAGCAGTGCTAACCACCCTATTGTATGCTAGTAAGACCTGGACAGTGTACAGGAGGCATGTTAGGCAACTGAACTACTTCCACATGACTTGCCTTCGTAGAATTCTGAGGATCCGGTGGCAGGATAAGATACCAGACACAGATGTCCTCTCCAGAGCAGACCTATCATCAGTTTACACTCTGTTGATGAAAGCCCAGATGCACTGGGCAGGCCATATTGTAAGGATGCCAGATCATCGCATCCCTAAACAGCTCTTCTATGGTGAGCTGTCTCAAGGAAAGCGATCGCATGGGGGTCAAAAGAAGCGATACAAAGACACGTTGAAAGCTTCTCTAAAGTCCTTGGATATTAACACCATCTCTTGGGAACTTCTGGCACATGATTGACCAACATGGCGCACCTTGGTGTACCAGGGTTGCCAGACATATGAACGCAGAAGGACAATCTTGGCACAAGAAAAGCGAGCACTCCGCAAAGCCAGAGCTGCAAATACTGAAGTAACAGTGTCTACATTTCTTTGTTCAGTATGTGGCAGAACAGTCCGTGCTAACATTGGTCTTATTAGCCACCTACGGACACATCGTTGATGGCCCATAACCCACAAGATGTCAAGGACTTCATCGAAATCGATGGACAAACAACAAACATTTTTTAAAAATAAATATTTTATTAATTTCAAGTTTTACAATCATAAGTACTTAATAAACAACTCGATGTCTGATTTCCTTTATCATTCAGTGGTACATATTCACTTTCACTCAAAATATCCAATATTACACCATCCAGTATTTCCCTGGTTCTCTCCCAAGAATAATCATTTTTCCAGACTATACAAATATAATTCTTACCGCTATTAATACTATACAATTAAATATAAACATCTTCATCACATGTTTCTAATGTTATACATAGTGTCAATAATATCAATTTATAATATCTTCTCTAGCCAAAACGTATCTCAAATGTATTTGCAATCAAAATTCCCGTATTCAATCCGTACTCTTATTTTTTCAATTTTAATTTCCCATCAATATTCAAAATAACTTTGTAATAATTAAAAATGTAATTAATTACATTGGGTAACTAAAAGCTTCCCTTATACTGACCCTGTTAGTATTTTCATATTTCTCATCTTATAGCAAATTACGTTATCCTAGTTACAAATCACATCATTCTAATTTATAATGGTCCTTTTATTTCTAACAATTGTCTATTCTTTTAATCATATTCAAACATCCATTAGTCAGGACCTCTATTAGTCGGGACCTCTATTTTCTTCAGTCTTACTCTAGCTTTCTTCCTTTGCCAAATAACTTTCCAAGTATTTCTTCCTCTGGTTCTGTTTATATTATTTGGAATAAAAAAGACAATTTATTTAAATTGTTTTTGTAAAAATGCTTAATCCGTTTATATTCATTAAACAGCCTCCATTTTCTTTCTCCTTCAGTTTCTCTTAGTTTCTTGTTCCCCAGTTTTCAGCATTTCTCCTAACAGCTCTGTCATCCATTCTATCAATTCTTCTTCCTTGTCCTTAAATATGTTCTGAAGTCTTGAAAACTAAAATGTCTTTCCCATTTCCTGTGTTATATCTGGTCTTCCAAATTTTTATTTATCTGTACCTGTCTGTTGCTTTCTTCTTTCGAATCCTCCATCTTTATATCAGTTTTCTTTATTTTTTCTTCTGGTTTCTGAGTTGGTAGTTCATTCTTTATGGTCATTTTCTGAACGTTTTTTGTTTGTAAGTTTAAGTTGGAGAGTTGCTCATTTATGTTATTTAAATTATTTTTAGTCTCATAATTTAAAACAATTGTTTCTTGAATTGATGTCAACATGGAAAGAATTTCTTTCTGAAGTCCATTTACATTTTCTTGTTGATTATCCATGTTTCTTCCAAAGAAAAATAGTCCAGAAGCAACTTTCCCAGTTTCTTAATATTTCTTGATAGTTCTTGAAACTAAAAGTCAGTCAATATTTGTAACAGGCCAGCCAGTTCAGAATGGTTTATTGCCGTGGTGGCGAACCTATGGCACGCTGGCCACAGGTGGCACATGGAGCCAACCCTGTGGGCATGTGTGCCATCGCCCCAGAGGGAGGCGGGGCCTGGCTGCTCCCTGCCCCCTCTCCACGTGCTCCTGCGCTCTTGCTCTCTTTCTCTCTGCACTGAGAGTCAGGGAGCAGCTGCAAGAGCTGGGGAATCTGAGCTGGATGGTGGAGGCAGCTGCAGCATGAGTTCGGATAAGCCTCCAGAGCGATTTCGCGCGCCCCCCCAGCTGATCCGGGCAGCAGAGGCCTTTTCGAAGCCTCTGGAGCTCGCATCTATGGCCGCAAGGCAATTGTGCGATGTGCCAGCGGCCCAATCAGGCTCCAGAGGCCTGCAAAAGGCCCCACAGATCTAGGACTGCACAGCGATTTCGCCCCATGGCCATGGATTGCCCCACGGTCATGGATGCGAGTCCAGGCCTCTGCTGCCTGGATCAGCCATGGGGGCGCACACGAAATCGCTGTGTAGCCCTAGATCCATGGGGCAGAGTCCTTTTCCAAGTGGTGGTGGCAGGGTGATCCATGCAGGGCATGGGGCTGGGAAACGGCAGCAGTGGCAGGGCGGTCTGTGTGGGGAAAACATTGGCGGCATAGCAATCCATGTGGTAGCTTGTCCAGGGCTCGGGGGACTGATTGGGGCACCAATCTTCCCTCCCCCTGCCATGGCAAGCTGCTACTCACCACGCTGTGGGCTGCCCTTGCAGCCCCGGGAGTCAAAAGCCGGCTGTAACCACCTCGCCCCCAGTCAGGAGGAGCTGGGCACCTGGGCTACGCAGATGGACAGGGGTTCTGCTCTCCCAAAAGGCTGTCAACTCTTGGCTGGCAACCTGCCTGGTGATTCCGCCCTGTCAGCGCCAAAGCGCCGCCCACCTTGCCCAGAGCCACCTCTGGCTGCTGTCTTGACCCCTCTGCCGCAGAAGGCGAGCGGACCACCAGCACACCGAGAAGAGGCAAAGATCTACGCCAGAGGCAAACATCTGCACTGCACTGAAACCGGACATTTGCCGTAATGCATGAGGCGGTTGTTTGCCTCTGACCAAAAACAAACAGCTGCCTTGTGCGTCGCAGCAAATGTCCAGTTCTGTATGGTGTGGCTGTTTGGCTCCGGCCGGAGGCAAACAGCCGCCTTGTGCGGTGCAGCAAATGTCCAGTACGATGTGGCATGGTTGCTTGGCTCCGGCCGGAGGCAAACGGCCGCCTCATGTGGCGTGGCAGAGGGCCGGTTTCAGCACATCTCTTCCCTCACACTCTTTAATATCATGTCTTCTCCCACTCCCTTAAATATTTCTTCCCCCACCCTTTTAATATCATGTTTTCCCCCACCCCTTTAATATCATGTCTTCCCCCACCCCTTTAATATCATCTTTCCCCACTCCCTTTAATATTATGTCTTCCCCCACCCCCTTTAATATCATGTCTTCTCCCACCCCATTTAATATCATGTCTTCCCCACCCCTTTAATATGTCTTCCCCCACCCCCTTTAATATCATGTCTTCCCCCACCCCCTTTAATATCAGTGAGGCTCCTCCAGTGGACCATGACCTGGCGCTTGCCCTGGTCCCATCCTCCCTCCGCCGGAAACTTTCAGATCTGCCCAGTCCTGCCCAGATCTGCACAAGAAGCCCTGACGTGAGTGATGTCGAGCTGGCCACGCCCACCCAGTAGGCCAGCTTGGACACTCGGTCTCTAAAAGGTTCACCATCACTGGTTTATTGTCTCCTTCTTACAGATGAAACAGCCCAAGGATCCCCCACCCGTTTTCCCAGCTGCAATCTGTAAAAGTGAAAGTTTTCAGCAACAACAAAGAGCCTTATCTATGTCCGGGCTTCGTGCCAAATTTTCTTTAAGCGTAATAAATTGTAATGCCAAGTTTCACCACTATTTGTCGTTAACTTCTATCTTCCAGCTTTCAAGTCCAAACTTATTTCAGCAACTTTCCAAGTATCTTTTCAAAAACAAAGTCTTAAAAATACTTTTAGCCCCCAAATTTGTCAAAGCTGTATCTCTGTATTAAATCCAAATTAATCTTGTAGTTTTCTCTAATTTTCCCCCAAGGAAAGTTAGAACGGAGCAGAAATTAATCCTTCTCTCTATCATATGGGGGTATTCTTTGCTTTGGGAATTCTTTTTTCCAGGAAGAAGTTTTAAAATTATAAAGAGAGGATTACGTTCTCATCCAGTTCCATCTGCGTTGTTCAGAGGTTGTTAATTAGTGCTTATCTTGGGTTGTTGGTGGCTTGGGTTGTTGGTGGCCACCTAAATGCAGCCAATCTTTCTCCTACCGGTTTGAAGGGTTCCTTGGATCAAATGGAAGGGCCACAACCCTCTGTGATCAACGAGGGTCCCCTCCTTCGTCGACTCTCTGAGGCGACTTTAGAACTTTTTTAGGGTCCCCAGCAGAGTGAAATCGGACATAGAAAATGGAGCCCCATTTTCCTGAGCCCATAACGCTCACATCTAACCCAGAACTCCTTTTCTTCTATATTTCAGTCCAAAGTTATAAGAAACATTCAATAGAAATAAAGTCCAGATATTTTGTAAATTAAAAAAATACAGAGATCCAATGGTGAGAATTAAAAAAATTCTTCATCTCCCCCAACAGTGGGGGTGGGATCTAACTCCCCATTCTTTCTCCTGATGCTTGGAAGGCTCATCTTAATTTGGTGTTGTTTAATAAAAATGAAATGGAACACTAGTTGCTTAGATTTTATTCTTGAAGAATAGGAAAAGAACACATAGATAATATAAATCCATGAAGAAAGCCACATATAGCATAGCTGTTTGCCTTGTGAAGCATCTAGCAGCAAGATGTGAGGTACATTGAAAGTGAAAACAACTAACAACTTATTAAGGTAAAAAAAATGGAGACTTGTTAGTTAACAGCATGTTCTTGGCAAACAAGTGGTGCAGTGTTCTGGAAAACAAGAAGAGCAACTTCTCTTCTGGAAGTTAATTGAAAAACAGGCCAGTCACAGGAGAGATATCATAAGTAGTGTTTGATTCCAAGAAAAGGAGTGTTAAGGTCTTGTTGATAAATGGAAACAGTTTTAGAGGATAATCTGGTAAAATCAATTTTAAAAACTTTTTCTGTAAATGATCATTAAAATACATAATGTAACTGAATCTTTGAAGATAAGTATAATTTCACCTTGCTAATTCAAATTTAGATCAGTAAACAAATAACCAACCAGAAAGTCCTGATAATATTCATTTGGGTGTAATTTAATCAAATTATATATTATATATTTCTGAAATTTACTCTTATCTTTACTGAGTTAATGTAGTATTCTAAATAACTAATTGCTTCAATTAGGAAGGTTTTTGTAATGTGAATGAGTGCTAATTGGGTTTTTGTCCTTGTTGAAATATTAATAGGGGTTGGATTATATGTGAGAGCAGGTGATATAATTATTTATTGCAAATATGTCTATAGAGCTGAACTTGAAAACTTGATCAAGCAGATGCATCAGAAGGCAGGATAGAATGTACGTGTCACATCTATTAATAATACAATTATTACATGCACTTCAGAGCTGAAGCAGCACAGCATCACATTGCAGAGCTGAATCCATATGTCCAAGTGATGTCATCAACTGATCCATTAAATGAAATCACTGATATTTCTTTTTTGAAACAATATCAGGTATGTGGTACCTTTTTGAAACATCTATTTAATTAGCCTTGATTCCTACAATACTGACTCCTGTCCCAAACTCCTGCTTTGTACATAAAGACTTGAAAACAGCAGTGAAATATTTATAAATTGAAGGCATTTAAAACTGGCAATTCCTTTTGCTGCTTTTAAGGAAAAGCCCACTTAGACAGTGAGAATCTAACCTTTTCTCAGTTTTTCAAATACTTGAGAAGTTGCGTTAAGAAGGAAAAGGAGGATAAGTATTTCTTTAAATTCTTGAATGTAATAAAAAGAAGCAAGAGGGAGAACTATTATTTCTGAGTATTCAAATCTATGTACAAATGGAAGGTGATTTCCTCCTTTTCTCATCAGAGCATTTTGTGCAAAGGATTTGGAAATGATTTGATTTACGTGTCTAATGGAAATATAGAGACTGCAAGTCCTGTCACGCTTTCATGAGTGTATACATTGTGATGTGTATTTTGTAAAGTACTTTAGAATTAAAGCTACATTCTGATTTATCCTAAATATGGCAGATATTATCTCCTCAGAAGGATCATTTTTAAGTGTCTCATTGAATTTAAATGATTACAGGTATGTGTCGGTTTATGCATGTGTATGTTTATGTAGATTTGTGGGCTGGATTCTGCCATAAGATCCCTCAGGAAGGATAACATATAATGAAATTTGTGCCATTATGTCATGATGCAGAAATTGCACACACAGGCTTGAATCAAATAACATAAGCATTAAAGGGTAGGATTTGTATGTTGATGTTCCTATGTTCCTATTATTTTTTCTTGAAATAATCTTTGATTGCTATAAATCCTACTGGATTCTGCTTAGTTTAGAAATTTTCATTTATATCTGACTACTATTTTGTGCATTATTTAGATAAGAATTAAAATAGTGTGCAAATAGTTACATTGCCAGGTTTCCTTATTATCCTTAGCTGGAGCCTGGTGGTCTTTAGTTTAGGACTTTAGTCCTATATGCTTTACTGCTGGATCTTAGATATTCAGTAGGCTTACATTAATTTATGTGTCGCTTCCCCTGTGCATTGGGGTTTTTAAACATTTTTTAGGGTCAATTATTTAAAATGGTATTTGAACCTTCCTTAGTCAATTTTAATGTTATGATTGTGTTATAAATAATACATGCACAAAATTTAGGTTGTTTTTAATGTAACAAATACTATGGAAAGAGCTCAGAATAATTGAAAAAGCTGTTTAGTCCCTTGACATGAGGTGAGTAGAACCACTTTCAGTCAGAGGAGACCAAGTCTCTAGCTTTCTTACAGATTTTTTTTTAATAAATATGGCATTGGGCATTTTAATTGGTAAGAATCAGATTACAGCATAGGATCAGGTTAAGAAGGTAGAAGCACAAGTCTAAGAAATAACTATATGATGAATTATTAAAAAAAGAATAATTCATTGCAGAAGTGAAAAGTATATTAAACTATTTCTGACATAGCTAGCTGAGGTGTTAGACTATTACATCATAAACATTTTTTCATATTATAGTAAATGAATGTTAGAAACATTTATTTGGTGTAGATAAAAGAAACTGGATTATCTAATAAATTTGTTGGTCTATAAATTACTGGTTATAGTCAACCTTGTGTTATCTAAGATTTACCTTTGGACTTTTTTTTAAGTGTGTCATATTAACTGAGATGAAGATGTCACTGCAGAAGAAGATTAATGCTTTTTGCCATACTCAGCACCCACCTATTAAGGTAATTCTAAATAATAAAGTATATTTACTAAATATTTTCCAGTGCAATCTCTTCTAAGAATTTTTCATAATCTGCTTTGACTTTTTGTCTCATACCATCCTGAATTACTAATAGAGCAAATTATTTCTATATTAGCAGTGCTAAACTTTGTAGATAGACTAGCTTGTTCTTGGACCATGATATGCCAAATCCACATGGAATAACTTTTAAATCATTTAAATTAAGTCAACCTTTAATCCGACTTTTCCAACTTTTGTGTTTTGTAATTTAGTGTATTCAAGTAGCTAGGAAAAAATAAAGGGAATTTGAAAGAAATTCCTTCGTATTGGCATACATATAAATGAAGCAAATCTGCGTGGGTTAAATTGAAATAGATATGCAGTTCACAATTACCCTAATTTGTTTTCAAGTTGAGGTACATTTATTTATTTATTAATACATGCATGATTTGATGGGTTATTGTACATAATTTTATGTATTTATGTATTTACTTAATTACTAATTTATTTACTTATTTATTTATACATGCATGGGTTATTGTCCAGGAGACAGATGGAAGAAGTGTGACCTTGTTAATCTTTATTATGACTCTCAATAGCATCTAGTGCCCTTGACTGAAGTAACTTCATAGACAGCTTCTTTGGGATGAAAATGTGACAGACTATTGCCCAATGTGATAGATTATTGCATTATTATTTAGTTTCATTTAAACCAGTAGTTCTCAACCTTTCTAATGCCGCAACCCCATAATACAGTTCCCCATGTTGTGGTGACCCCCAGCCACTTATACATCACTGGGTGCCAGGGGTGTGGACAAAGAAAAGGGGGAAAAAATGGCGGACAGCCTTGTTTGGCGACCTCCGTGAAATGGTCATTCGACCCCAAATGGGGTCCCGACCCACAGGTTGAGAACCACTGATTTAAACAATCACTATCATAAAGTAGTGCTTTAGGAATGCACAATGATAATGCACCCTAAAACTGTTTTTTTTTTGTCGTATTATAATACCCAAGTCTATTCACTTAACATTTTTAGTGAAATATTTTCTTTCTTTTACCTAACCTATTTAATGTGCAAAACTGAATTATTTTGTGCTGTCAGTAATTATCTTAGAATAGAATCACTAGTTGGTGGGAATATAGTGTTTTCAAATGCTATTCTCCCAGAATATTTTTTTTTTATTGAAAATTTTTCAAATTTTACAAGACAAATCCCCTCCCCAAACCCCCCCAGCCTCCCGTACCCTCCCCCAACTCCCCAAACCTCCCTAACCCTCCCCTGGACCTCCCAGAGTTGATTATGGGCTTATCCAAAATATTTCAAAAAAAAAAAGAAAAAAAGAAAAAACTTAAAACACATATAAAACTTAAAACACATATAAATCCTAAACAAATCTTAATATTCTAAATTAAATAGATTATCTCTAAAAAGTAATAATCATTAAACACATTATAATATACTCTGAACATCTTCTAATCATGCTTATAATATTATCCACATTCTATATAAATTCCTCCCAAAACACAATTTTAAGCACTACTTTCTTTGAACATCTATAACTATAATATAAAATCTAATATAAATCATAAACAAATCTAAATACATTTAGTTAAACGAGTTATACTCCCTCCAAAACACAAATTTAAACATAAATACAAATTTAAACATTACTTAAAACTTTAAACATTAGAATCCCCTTATACACATTTAATCAAATTCCATCTTAAAAATAGTAATAATAATAATTAGAAGAAAAAAAATAAACCCAGACACTAAACACATTATAGTATACTCCAAACCTTCTAATATCATGCTAATATTATTATCATTTTTATAAACTCCCCCAAAACACAAATTTAAACATTACTTAAAACTTAAAAAATCCCTTATACACATTTAAATCTTTATCAATAAGAAATTCCATCCACAATAAACACATTAAACATTTAAATCTTCACCAATAACAAATTCCATCCACAAAAAAACACAATCCTTATCAGTCTCAATTGTCCATTTTCATTCTCCATCCATTATCATACTGATATTATTATTATCAATCTCGAATGTCCATTTTCATTCTCCATCCTTATCATTCTCTAATTTTGAATATTCGTCTTTAACCTTATCAAACTCAAGAGAAGTACTTTGAGATCTGGCTTTAAAGATTGCTCCAAAATTTCTGGATCTCCCAACAACTCAGAAGCCAATACAAGTGGGGATTCCTTAAACTCCTTATTCTGTTGGTCTTTTTCTTTACAATTATATGTTGCACGAATTGTCCTCTGCCCCTTCCTCTCAACTTGTTGAAACTCCTCAAGCTGAGATTTCCCATTTTTCATTTCAGACAACAATTCCATCCTTGAAGATTGCTCCAAAGGCTTTATAAGTCTTGCTTCTCCCACAGATTCAGAAACCACTAGATGTGAAACTTCCTTAATCTTCTTCTGTTGTTGCTTTTCTTTACAGTTATGTGCTACACAAGTTATCTTCTGCTCCTCAATCTGAACGTGTTGAGATCTCTCAGGCAAAGGTTCCCCAATTTTAGGGTCTTCAAACTGTAATTCTACATTCTTTTCTTCCAAGGTTTTAAACTTAATAGATGACGATGAACATACCCCCAAGACCGAAGTATAAAAATCTTTTGCTTGAGAAGCAGTATTAAGTCTATAAGATATCCCCAGGTAGTTCACCACCATTCCAATCGGAACATCCCATCTGAACGAAATTCGTCTCTTTTTAAGTTCATTTGCTAAAAAAGCAAACTCCTTTCTTCTTCTTAAAATTTTAGATGGGATCTCCTTTAAAATTATAACATCTTGTGAAGCAATTTGAAATCTCTTCTTATAAAAAGCTTGTATAATTTCATTGCGTAGAGATCTTTTCCCAAAGTAAATTACCACATCTCTTGGCAAATTCTTTTGCACTGCCACCACAGAATTAACTCGAAATAATTTTTCAATTTCACTAAGTATTTCCTTTTTTTCTTTATTCAAAATCACAGCAAAGTCCTTTGCAACCATCTCTTTCAGATCTCCTTGCAAGGACTCTCCCAAGCCTCTAATTCTTAAGGCATATTCCATTTGTCCATATTGAGCATAAGAATCTCATTTTCCGTTTCCTTTTCCATACTTTCAATTTTTCCCTCCATTAATTCCACTTTTTCAACTACTTCTTCCACACGGGAATTCAACTTTTCAATAACAGAAGCAACTCCTTTTAAAGCCAAAACTATGTCTTGCCTCAAAATCTTGTTATTTTCCTCTAAAATCTTTTTCATTTCTGCCCTAATTTGAATTGTAACATTTCCCATCATGTCTTGCAAATCCTTCACAATTGCTGGTTGGACCACAGAAGAGGGTGAAACTATTGATTTAAGAACTGTAAAAGTCCCTGGACGCTTTGGAGCCATCTTAAAAAAAAAAAAAAAACTTTACTCCTTCTTGAGAATTACAAAAATTCCTTCAAAAAAATCATAACTCCCTCAAAAGAAAATCTTTATAATGATAAAAAAGGGAGTTAGAAAAGAAGAAAAAAGAAAAAAGGAATTAAAATATCCGTTCCAATCATTAAAAAGAAAAAAAAGGGGGGGGGGAAGAAAAAACACCAAAAAGCCTGCCTTTTAAAAGTACAAAAGACAAAGCAAAAAAGTCAAACAAAAACAATAATGTTTAAAAAGTTAAACAACAAAAATAATAATGCTTCTAAGATCCATCCAATCATTAAAAAGAAAAGAAAAGAGAAAGTAAATGAAGCCGATCGCCATTCTAGCTTCCCAGAAAAAAAAACGCTAGAAAGTCTGCCAATCGCCATTTTACTTTCCCTTTCAGCACAAAGTAAAAAGTAAAAGGAGAGAATATAAACATGAAAATAAACCTTTAAACTTAAAATACATATAAAATCAAAGAAAGCAAAAAGTAAATCCTCTAATCAACTCTGTCCGCTTCTAAAAAAAACTCACCAGGTCCCTTTAAGCGCGGAGGTGATTGCAACGGCTTGTTTTGTCCCTAGGGACAAAAGCAGCTGGGAAGCGGAGACAGTCTGAACTCCGTGGGAGCACTCTGTCACCCCCCAAAAAAAGAAATTGGGGGTACATAAGAGGCTCTACCACTATTCAGACAACCCTCTTCCCCCCCCCTTTGCCCGGGAGGGGGATTTTGAACCGCTGAACAGCTGATGTACGCTGTTCATAGCGATTCATTACACTTACCCAGGAGGATGGCTAGAAAGTAGCCGCCATCGCCGCGCAGATCCACCGGAAGTTCCTCCCAGAATATTCATAAATCATAGAATCATAGAGCTGGAAGGGACCTTGGAGTTCTTCTAGTCACACTTTCTGCCTGGGATAGGACTCTTGATTTCATCCTGGATGAATGGTTGTCCAGTCATTTCTTGAAAATCTCCAGTAATGTAGGACTCACAATTCCTGGAGGCAAATTATTCCATTGATTAATCATTCTCATTATCAGGAAATTCCTCCTTAGTTCCAAGTTAGATCTCCCTCTGATAAGCTTCCACTGATTGCTTCTTGCCCTGTTGTCAGGTGCTATGGAGAATAAATTGATCCCTTTTTCCCTGTGATATCTCTTCAAGTATTTGAAGATGGCTATCATGTCTCCCCTAAGCCTTCTCTTTGTTGGGATAAACATATCACGTTCTCTTAATTGTCATTGTATGATTTAGCCTCCAGTCCCTTTATTGCTCTTCTCTTCACTCTTTCTAGGGTCTCAGCACCTTTTTGATATTGTGCTGATCAGAATTGGACACAGTATTCTAAATGTGGCTTCAATATTGCGGTGTAGAGTGATACCATCACTTCCTGTGATCTTGATGCTATTCCTCTGCTGATACAGCCTAGGATTGCATTGATTTTTTTTGCAGTTGTAGCACACTGCTGACTCATACTTAAGTGGTGATCCATCAGGACACCACTAGATATCTCTCTTTGACATTACAGGTAGTCCTTGACTTACACCACAACTGAGCCCAAAATTTCTGTTGC